AGACAGACGCACGCAGTCAGACAGACAGACAGACAGACGCACGCAGTCAGACAGACAGACAGACAGACGCACGCAGTCAGACAGACAGACGCACGCAGACACAGTCAGATGGACAGGCAGACTGACTGGAGATGCCCCATTCCTTTTGTTTAGCATTCCTTTGAGAAACTAAATGCAATCTGGTTATGAACAGCTATGGCAGAGCAAGGAGCTGCTTGCTTGTCATGGTTTATAGACTTTGGGGTGGTGGGGTGTGGGGCGGAGGGCAAAACATGAAGTGAAAAGAAATATGCAGCAAACTGGGGAGACCTACAGACACAGGCCTCTGACGGCAACATGCATTATCTGCAGGGTTGGGGTTCTGCAAGGAAGTGTTGTATTCATCTGAGGAGCAGCTTGATAGTCATACAGACTTTAGTTTTACATTTCTTTTTGTCCCTTCACTGTTTAAATGATCTGATTTTAATGAGCTGATGATCCAGGCAGGGCAGGCTGACAGTGTTACACTGAACGTTTAAGTAATGAATCATGTGACCTTCGTTTTGCTTGGTGGGTTCTAGGGTTTCTAAGGGGGGTATTCATATTTCAGTTTAGTGGAAATTTTTATGTTACTATAACGGTGCAGTCGGCTCAGTTAGCTACTAGATTGGTCTGGTTCTCAAGGTAACCTCTGCTTGGGGGTGGCTTTGTGGCTTCTTTGCAGTGTCAGCACCCCCCAAACCCCCCGCCCCCTGCGTGGTTGTCTTCTCTCTGTTCACAGGACGCCTGCAGAGGATCAGTTTGTGTGGAATCGAACAGGAAGCAGGCTACTCCTGTTATCTGAATCCGAATCCGCTCCCGCTGGCTGCCAGCAAGGTCACCGCTCGCTAGCCGTTATTTATAGGCAGCCAGGGCAGTGCTGCAGTACCGTCATGGTGCATCCATCTGAAATGGGCTGGGCCCGGGGGTGTGGTGGCGTGTAGGTGCAGTAGTGCCAGATTGAGGCTCCTCCCCCACCCACGTGCCCATGGTGTCCGTCTGTGTCTGGCAGATCATTAATTAGTATTGGGAGCTTTCTGCATAGTCACCTCAGTGGTAAAACGATGCCAGCGAGGTCTAGAGCCGCCTAGCCCTTTCAGCCAGGTTCCGGGGGAAGCCGTCATGCTCGGTAGGCTGGACAGACGGCGAGTTCATTTGCGAGTCCAGCCACAATGGCGCTGTTCCACGCTGCAGGTTTGTCGAAGACGCAGTGGCCAGACCTGTGGGATTCGACAAGAGGGTCAATGTCCCTGCAGCTCGAGTGAAACGCATATTCAGCAGTGTGGCTGAATTTCACTTATTTTAAGGGAACCAGCTGATACTAACTGGTGTTAACTAGTACTACAGAATGCCCACCTAGTCAGAGTGGTTCCTAGAAGGACATTTGAAAGGGGGGCTTCTTAGACGAAACTCTTAATGAAGTGTAAGTGAAACACACTTCTTTTTGTGCTGTTCATTCAGCTGCCTTCAGCTGCACATTCACCCTGTTTGAACCCTGTTGCCATTTCCTTGTCCTCTCTGGAGCTACAGCTTTGGCCCGGCTGTTATTTACTTGCATGTCATTGGAAACGGCTGTGGGATCATCAGACAGGCCGGAGAGACGAAAGGATGATGCGATCAAAGAGGCGCGTGCCACCCGCAGGTGGGTTAGCCAAGCAAGTCACGTCAGATGCTAATCCCCTTAATGTATAACATCTGATAAAGGATTCAGAGAAGTAATCAGTCAATTGAGGGTCATTCTCAGAAGAATCTCCAAACAGCCTACCTCCTCTGGAATGCAGGACCTTTCATACCAAAACGAGTATTTATGCCCTTTCATAGTGTCCTGTTACTGCTCAATGTGAATGATGACCTTTGGCATATCTCGAGGTACTTGCATCCTGCAGCGGTAGTGCAGCTGGAGATAGGACCACGTCGGCTACCGCTGCCGCTGCTTGAGCAGACTACTGTACCTCAATGGTTTTAGCAAGATCTGCCTACATCACTGAACTGTTAGTCTCTACCGAACCATCTCATCCAAAGTTATCTGATGAGTCCTGCAGCTCTATCAAGCTTTGTAAGATGGATCTGGTGTGGATCTGCATGACAAAATTACACCATTAGATAGCAGTTGTGCATGCAGATGTCCCCTGAACGTTTGACTGGAAGGTACAGCCAGTTTCTCGGGCTGGCACCTCTTTGGAAGCGGCTTTTCAAGTGGGAGCCACAAAGAGAAACTTTGTGGAGTGCCGTTCCTTTGTTATGGGATGCCAACCCCTTCCCCGGGCACACAGACCAGTGATCAGTCAGGAATGCTCTTTTAGGTATTTTTAATGAGGTTTAGAGTGAAGGGCGACCACTGTCCACTGTTGGAGGATACACATTGGTCTCGTTGGAGCGCCAGGCTCTCCGCTCATCGGATGCCAAATTGCACCTTGTTGGAAACATCATGATATGGAGGAGACTGTATCCTGTCAGTGTGTTTTTACTATAGTCTTTGTGGTTAATTATGCTACTCGTGAATGTAGGAGGTTGAATGGTTTAGTATGATTGAATAATTGTTGTTGGGTTGGTGAAACTATTTGATGGAGGCGGGTGGTGTAGGTGTTAAAACTCCCGTTCTGTCCAAAGACCGAGCCAACTTCAAATATCACTAGAAGTTTCCCTCCAACAGGAACCCCAGCCACCCCATCATTGTTTCTTGCATAACTTCCTTTTTCAAGAATGGATGTCCTCTTCGCACATGGACAGACTCGCTGTGCAAGTACTCCTGGGCTGTGGCCGCTAGCGGCTGCCTGTCATGGGGGCGTCGTGCTGCATCTGAACATGCAGTCTGATACTCGGCCAAACAGGAAGTACATCTCCCCATCCTTACCTGACAGACGTCACTTGTTCGACTTCACCAAAGACGTTCTTCACCTGGGCCAACACAAATATGTGGAGAGTACTGAGGCTGGAGAGGGGGGCCGGGGAAATCGGGGAAATTACATTGGATGCACCTGTATAGCTTCTCACACTGTACAACATGCTGATGCCGCTTAATGGCGGCGTTTTGCTTGCAATGCTGTTGTGTCAACACACTCCGAGGTCAGAAGGGCACAGCTGCCACGTGCTGCAAGCGTGTTGACAGAACTGCCTTTCGTAAGCACCGCGTCGCCACGGGTGACCCGCTGCTTGCGCAACCACACACTTCTGCATTGTTCCCTAACCGTCTGGTTCACAGCAAGCCTCCTATTGAGCTGACTTGCTAAAGCATCCTACTAGTATGACAGGTTTTAAACTATGTTTCTTCATTTTTGTAAGCTGCTAAAAATGACTGGACAGAAGATTACTTTATGTATGTTTTTAAATAACAATTAAAAATGAAAAGTGATGCTAAGAGGTGCTTATCGTCTGTTTTTGAAACAAATGAACATGTATATCCAACTTTTATAATGGACAGTCTCTGTAATGACAGGCTCCCTGGTCCATCAGGCATATGAATCACTAACTTTATGGTAAATGTGAACAGGTCGACCAACAGGCTCCACTTTCCGTATAAGAAAGCGAGTGAGTTACAGCGAGCGTAAATGTTTGGTCCCCCCGGGCTGAGGCCACCTGCCATTCCTGACGGGCATGTCAGCAGATACCTGGGGTGGGCGTGAAGTGGGAAAACAGCCCACTCCAGTCTGACAGGTGTCTGTAAAGCCTGGCAGTCACTATGATGATGGTTTTCCATAGTCCCAGATTCTTACTACCATGTATTACCCCCACACACGACCCCACCTTGTTTGAACGACATCACAGGCTCTCTTTAATACACTACATTTTTATTTATCATTCATTAACAAGATTGCCGAGAATAAGTGTAAAAATGGTACAGTACTCGTCGGTAATGGTGAAAAAGCTGCTACCAAGGAAAAAAACAAAAGAAACCACTTTATATTCAGTCATAACAGACGCAAAACTATGAAGACATTCAAGTGAATCCTACGTTCTACTCTGGCCATGGAATCACTATTACATTCAGCTGCGGCACAGTTCTGAAGTCTCATTTAAGGCTTTTGTGGCAGTGGGCTAATTAGGGCCCTCAGTCCCCCAGCGCCTGCCTTCATTCCCCTCATTTTTCCTTTTATCTGCCCCTAAATTAACACTAACCTGGAACCTTAAACCGTATAAGAACACAAAAACACTCTAAACGCTTGTTCAGTAATACAGGATATGAGGTCAATTAATAATTGTAAAATTCCTATCATCTTAACATAAAGGAAATTACGAAATGGTCCTCAGTAAATAACAATAAAACTCTTGTAATAAACTCTCCTCCTGGTGAAACTTAAGCTAATATTTTTCTAAAAAGGGAACACATGGAAAAAAATTAAACCTAAGTGCACGTTTTATGTTCCCTGTGAAGATTGACTGAAGAGGTACAGTATCAGGGCACAAAGTGAAAGGCATTTTGGCTGCTTCCCCTCACAGGCCGATGTGCTGGAACTAGCCATGCAGCTCACCCCCCCCCCCCCCCCCCAGAGGGGGTGGGGCCGGGCCTCAGTCACGAGGCTCATTGGGTGGTGGGATCTTCACGTCCGAAGGCTCCACCCCCCATATCTCCCGGGCGTACTCCGTGATGGTGCGGTCGCTGGAGAACTTGCCCGACCCAGCGATGTTGTGGATTACCTTCTTGGTCCACTCTTTAGGATTCTGAGATTGATGGAGAACATAGAGACTCCATATCATTAACACACTGAGAAATGACTGAAAACTAGAGTGCTATTGTTCTATCATTACATATACCCACATCTACATAATTCTCCCTATAAACAACTATTTAAACTGTCATAATTCATTCTTGAGCCAAGAGCAGTGTTCAAACAGTACTCATGGTCTTAATTATTGAAGGAGACACTTCACTAGTAAAGGTCTGACTACATGCATTTTTCATATGTCCACAAGAGGGTGCCTTTTTTTACCAAGTATTCAGTTCTCTATTATTGCGCTAAACCATAGAAAACAAAGTTTGTTGTCACCTTTCTTAATACGGGTGAATGCAGCTTTGTCATATTTTTGTCTTATTATTATGCTTCATATTCATACGGTTTCCCCCACTGCTCACCTTGTAGAGAGCGCTGACTTTATCTTGACAGCTGATATAGTCTTCATAGTCAGCAAACACTTTGAACCTGGTAAGAGCACAAACATTGCACACTGTTCAAATTGCATTGGGTTTTTCAAAACTGCAGGGCACACATCACAATCGTGTAACCCTCCTGCTTTGTAATGTGGACTTTGACATCACTCTGTTATCAAACTTCTACACAGGAAATGCAGTTTATCATTCCCTCACATGGCTTTACACATAGTACTTCAGACAACCACTTGATGGCGCTTGCTAGGCTCTTTAGAGTTTCCTTCTGGCTGCATTTAGCCAAGTGCTTACCGGTCATGATTCAGCAGCATGTTGACTATGTCCTTGAAGAGCTCAGGCTCCTTGGGGTTGAAGTACCCACTCTGGATCTGGTCAATCACCTGTCGCAGCTCAGGGATGCGGTCATAGTACTCCTTAGCGTTGTACCTGCCCAAAAGCGTGAAGCAGAACTTAGCCACTACAGATTGTTACTCTATTTGATTTCAATCAGGTCACAGCAGCAGCCTGTTCGTCCAGTAGCTTCACAGAGGCTGGACTAGCAGTGTTGGAGTCTTTCTGTTACTCCACCCCAGTGGAACCACTGTACTCCTCACCCCTTCTTGTCCATGGCCAGCACGTCCTCCACCCTCATGCCAAAGATGAAGAGGTTCTCCTCGCCAGCCTCCTCGGCCATCTCCACATTGGCACCATCCATGGTTCCAATAGTGAGGGCACCGTTGAGCATGAACTTCATATTTCCCGTGCCTGAGGCCTCTGTGCCGGCCGTGGAGATCTGCTCCGACAGATCAGCCGCTGGGATCACTGGATTGGGGGGTGATGGATGGTTATTTAAGCCAAGGCTGCAACACAGCATCAACTGCAACAATGATCTTGAGTCCAGAGAATCCCTCACCCTTCTCAGCCAGAGAGACTCTATAGTTCTCCAAGAAGATGACTTTGAGTCTGTCCCCCACCACAGGGTCATTGTTGATGACCTGGCCCACATTGGTGATGAGCTTGATGATCATTTTGGCCATGTGATAACCTGGGGCAGCCTGCAGGGGGTGACATGTGAGAACAGAGCAGTTAGAGGATATTCTTTGGATTCATCCCTCTACTAGCCAAGTGCTTCAAATCTCAGTAGGTTATACATCAGTTATGTATGTACTTATTGGTCCAGACATAGGCGTAAACATGCATTGCTGGGGGGCACCGTACTGAGAAAACACCAACCTGTCCCGCCCAATATACAGTAGAAAATGTTAAATGTCTTCTTTTTATGAGCCCTCTCAATAGATCTGCTCTTTCTATTTCATATTTATTTTCAATTTATTTCTGTTTGTTAAGGAAAACAGAAATGTGCAACCCCCTCAATTATACACTTGGTTGCACCCAGCACGTCTTTCTGCGCTGTGCCGGTAATCTGGCGGGTGTTTTAAACTGTTTTTAAGGGCACATAAGAATGTCATTAAATTCTAATTGAAATAATTTTCTTCTGAAAAATTAACAGTGACAAATTTATTCTATTATTTTTTTCTTCGTTACCCATGCTATAAGTGAGAAACTTTGTTGTGTGATTTATCCCTTACATAAATGTCAATCACAATCAGGTAATGATTTTTATGCCAAATTTACACTTGTTAACTGACATTAACAAAGTTTTCTGCTAAAGAACACATACCTTTCCTCCAATCATCACAGTCCTGGGGACAAAGTGCTTCTTGGGGTCCTTCTTTATTCCTGCGTAAAAACCAGGCAACAAAAAAAGTCTCATCAGATAGTTTCAATGAAGAAGCTTTCAGTGTCTTTTTAAAAAATGTGATGTCAGAAGAACAACATATATGAAATTAAAATGCTAAGGACTGGGGATTGTGCAGTGCCATTCATGCATAAACCTTATGTGGTTTATACAAGGAGTCACATGTTTTAGCTACACCAAGATCATGTGAATGCAGGAATATAAACTGGTAGAAGACCCCTGATCTGGACCAAGGGGTGACTGGCTGCCTAACGTCATGAGTAACAGGTTAACATCAGGATGGAAGGCTGCCCCCTGCTGTGAATGAGCTGCATTTACAGTTGGAAGCGGCAACAGGCTGCCCTTACGGTTGTAGAGGGTGATAATGTGGAGACAATTGAGAAGCTGTCTCTTATACTCGTGGATCCGCTTGACCTGGATGTCAAAGATGGACTCGGGGTTGATCTTTACATGGTACTCCTCCTCCAGGTAGGCCGCAAGCTTCTGCTTGTTCTCCTGCAGTGACAGTTGTTGTTCTGGACCAATGGTATTCAAACTTTTTTTGACATAGCCCTCCTAGGTCTGATATATTTGTCCTGATCATTTATTTTGAAAATCTGTAATTCTGTAACTCTGACAGTTTAATTACAATAAAATTCAGAGATCAGAATCAACATGTATCCCCCAGCCCATTCCCACCTGCTTGATTTTGGCCACGTCACGGATGAAGCCATCGTTGTTTAAAAAGTCCAACAGCTTCTTCAGCTGAGAAAGATCAGTCAAAAACCCCTCCCCAATTTTCTGCAACAAAACACACGGATGGCTTACTGTGGACAAAGGCAGAGGCTCATGGGGAATGAGGCAGCACAAATCTGCAGCCAGGATATACACTGACTGCAAACTTTCTTTCAAGGTTACAAAGAATCTTTTTTAAAAGTTAACCATTTTTCACAGCTGACCATTAAAGTCACGATAAGATATAATTTTTGCACCAGAACACTCAAATAAATATGGAAAATGTAGCACAGCCATAGAATCCATTTCCAGGTGGGACTCCCCCAATGAAAGATCTGCAGTGGTTTAGGCCATTACCTCAGCAAAGATGTCAGCCAGGCCCGGGTTGCAGAGCAGCAGCCACCGGCGTGGCGTTATCCCATTGGTCTTATTCTGAAACTTCTCTGGCTCAATGTCGCAGAAGTCCTTAAATCTTCACAAGTGGTAGGTTGTTTTTAAGCAGGTACCCAAAAACACTTAAAGTTCTTATTGAGCAAAACCCAAAAATATAGATAACATCAGAGAAAAACCAACTAATCCAGCTTAAATACATCATATACTGCTGTCAGTGATTAGTGCCTGTATATATAGTGGATATTCCACTGGAACACATTTTTCATAATTATTATAATTTTTTACTTCTAAGCAGAAGGATAAATATAACTTCTACAGCCCTTTCCCATAAATTTTAAGAATATAACAGTTTCACTGAGTAGCCAAATGATGGATTTTATCATTCACATTTATGGCACTTTTTGCAATATAAACACTTGCATAATTTTCAGATGTGAATACATACTGTGCGATTGAATCAAAGCAGTGCAACAGTCTGGTGGGGGCGCTGTGGTTGTAGACACGCAAGACACTTACACAGTGGTCTTGACGATGTCCGAGTGGATGCGGGCAACTCCGTTGACGGCGTGCGAGCCCACCACACACAGGTGCGCCATGTTGATCCGCTTAGGGTCACCCTCCTCGATCAGGGACATTCGACGTAGCCGGTCAGTATCGCCTGGGTACAAGGCCTCGATCCTCTGTGGGGGGGGGGGGCAGAAAGGGCAGTGAGGTATATAGGGCAGGAAAAGGGGGTGTCACATGCAGCAATGCTGGAAAAAACAAGAATCCCAACCTATAGCTGGAGACAATCTCAGTGGTAGATGCACATTGGACTTGGTGTGGTGCTGTGCAGCACGAGCCAGCTGCTGATCTGGTGTCTGGGTTGGACAGAACTAACCTTTAGGTGCTGGTGGTTGATCTCGTAGATAATCTCCAGGTGTCGTGGCAACAGCTTCTCAAACATGTGCACAGGCCAGCGCTCCAGGGCCTCGGGCAGTACGGTGTGGTTGGTGTATGCACACGTCTTCACCGTCACCTCCCAGGCCTGCGGGGAGATGGAGGCATCAGCCATGCGGTAGAAGGAGACCCCACCCCGCCTGGGAGAGCAGAAGTACCAGCATCACCTGCATCCTGCTCATCCAGCTTACACTGCAATTAAGCACTAACAAGAACTTCTCTTTGTTAGAAAAACAGGGAAAACATCCATGCTGTTCCCTGGCGGTGGAGCAGTCAGGTCAAACTGTAACTCATATTACCATACCAGCAGACACATCAGATCAAAGTCATTACGGCAAATTAATTACAGACACACAATGACCCTCATATCATTCGGATGGGGTTTCAGGCAGCAGGTTGTTAGGTCTGGGGCAGTAACTGTTCAGAGACTTGGCTAAATGCTTATTCCGGCTGCCCTGTCCTGGGAGCCCCTGAAACGACCCACACCTTGGTCCAGTCGTGCTTTTCCACATCCACCAGGATCCTCATGAGCTCGGGAATGGCAAGGGCAGGATGAGTGTCATTGAGCTGGATTGCCACCTGGAAAAATGACAGCGTGTGTCAACTGAAAAGTGTGTGAATTCAGAGCAGTGACCCTGTAACGGAATTCATAGTTACTTCTTCAAAATAAAAGTAACGCCTCTTTGTTAGAGGCCTCACTGCATCGTAATAAGCAGAAGTGTGACCATGAAGTGGGTATGGTCTGTTTCACGTGGCACAGAAGCACCGTAAAGTGCAGGCCAGTCTTCATGAAGCACTATAATGCTTATAGAAGTACTCACCGATATGCTTAGTACACATATTAGGTGGAATCAATATTTGTAATGGGTTGGTCATTGACTGACATCCCTATTGAGAGACCAGAAAGCTAATGGCTTCCACCCTGAAAAGGGTCACCAAGAGGTCAAAGGTACAGTGGGCTGCCAGTCAAGTTCAGCACACCTTGCCCTGAGGCTTAAACATTATCTGGCCGAAAGGAGGCACAGAATGGAAGGGAGCGGCCCCCACCTTCTCAGGGAAGGTCTCAAAGGAGGTCCTGATGGGGTCTCGGCAACCAAACTTGGAGGACTTGAAGCGACGGATGATGTCCTGCAGGGTGGCGGCCACCACGAAGTACTCCTGCTTCAGACGCAGCTCCTTCCCCTCGAAAAACTATCACGTTACAGTTAGACAGCCATAGTCACTGCTGAGTCCTAAGGTCAGTGTTAGAGGCCTGTACTACCCACACGTAACGTCATCATCACGCTGCACCAGAGTACAGTGACCCGTTACGCACATGGTTGTAATTTTTGTGGTTTCACTTTGTGTACCCAGGGCAGAGGTGCCTGGACACACGCTGTGTCCTCAGCAAAGAGGAAAATGACACAGGCATGGGGGAATTGGCCCAAGTAACTACACCCACAGCTACACCAGCCTGAAACAGCAGCGTTTCTATGGCCTGTTTTTGTTTAGCTGCCTTTCAGCCCGAACTCATGATGGCACTGTTATATAGTTGTGGGGGTGGGGGTCGGGTTGGCAGGGGGGGCAGAGGGTGTTGTGATACTACAGTTTGTTTGCTGGCGATTTTTCCTCTTGGGTAATCAGCAAACAGTGAACATGAGCGTGCAGTGCCTCTGAGGATTGTGTTATTCATGCACTGTGTATCCTGTAACTGAATACGCTGACTTGCATTACTGAAGTTCCTGGACGATGATGCTCTTTTGCTTTCTACCTCCCTGGGCAGCCTGTCGCTTTAAGAGACAAGAAGGAGGCTGCTGCTCCACTTGATAAAGACCCCAGTGAAGGAACACGAGCTCCATAAGTATGTATATTTATAGACTGGAAGCGGTTCACGTATCCAGGAAGTGTGGCGCTTGTGGGCCCAGCAGTACATGGCGCGATGGGGCTCCCGCCTGCTGCCTGCAGAATGGCGACGCCTGGCTCTTCCCACATTGCTCATGTGATCTCCTTATTAGGGCCTGTGTGTCTGCCAGGCTGCGGGCTGCGTACAGCACGGCAGATCCTCAGCGGCGCCCCTGCTGGCCGGGCCATGTGAACTGACTCGAGAGCTCAAACCACTGAGTATGTGATGGCTCATCTCGAGATGGCTACGCAAGAATGCTCAGGTCCTGTGTGTGAATGTGCTTTTATGGAGAACTTGACTGCTTTTTTAACTGTCTGAAAAGCAACACAGGTACTGTTTTCGCTAAGCAGCCACAGCTGGTCGCTGACAAGGCTGAAGGGGCAGGAATCAGTCATCGGTTGGCGGTGTGAGCCCTGCTTATCCTGAGAGGACAGAGCTCAGAGTGGGAAACATCTGTCTGCGGATACAAGCGACTAAACCCCACAGGGTAAGGTCCAGCCCCTCCATCGACTTTGTGTGCATGACTCACATTGTCATTGGGGTAAAGGACTCTGGAAATGTTCTCTGCCAAGTTCCTGTCCAGTACGGCTTGGATGTAATCACCCACGTTGACTGCGAGTGAGAGAGAGATAGAGAGAGAGACAGAGAACGCAGTCAGATGGACCACACAAATACACGTGGTGTCACATGACTACCTGTAGGAAAGACACAGACCAAATTGGGACAAACGTCACATTACTGATCTGCCGATGGACAGTGTTTTGTTTATTTCATTACCTGTTTGAACTAATTTATTGACCTATAACTTAAAGCTAAAGAATGAAGCAAAATAAATGCAGCCAGAGCAAAGTTTGGAGGGAATGTCTAGTGGCTGCCCCAGACGATTACATCACAGTGCTGAGCCCTGACAGTGGGGGATGGGAGAGAGCCCATGGTTTGAGCTACACCAAGGCGTTTCCTGGGTAACCCTGGCCAGATTCCATCTGACCAGCCACCCCCTCAGCACTGGGCCACATCGAGGCCCCCACTTTGTATTCCAGCCGGCTTCTTTCTGAGGTGGCCGTCCTGGCCACACCAATGAGTGCACATCTCCCAGACGAGACTTTCGCAGTAGTATCACTCTCCTGGGCTACATCGACGGGGACCAGAATTACACCGAGACACCAACAGAATTCATACAGCACCTTCTTCTGGTCACTGGCCCAGCAGAGGATGGCAGCGAATCACGGGCCAGCCTTCACCACACACCACACACAGATTAACAGAGATTTACCGTGTTATTTCAAACTAGGCCCGCACAACTATGCCTCACAAAGCATCAGGCATTTTAAGGGGGCTTCAGGTCTAATATCAGAGTACTTTTCATCTGTGTGTTCAAGAATAACTGTCCTGTGTCCGGCTTCTCATTTAGCTACCCTGTTATTTGTTTGTACGTGCAAAATCACCACGGTTACATTCTAGAACAATTGCAGTTCCTATTCTGATTAGACAGGGATGAGACCTTCTACCCACCGTGACTACAGGGAAAAGTGAAACAATCCAGATTGGGCCCTCAGACCAGTGCCAAAAACCAGTTCCTGCTGGGAGGCACGTAAGGTAAACCAGTGAGCTGGATCCTAACAGCTGTGAGTCCCAGTTTGTAATGGAGACTTAAGAGACAGAATGAAATGGACCGATATGGATGCCAGCCAAGGATGAAACCTGTGTCTGCCACACACAGATTCAGCAATGCCTGCACTCACCAAACATGGGGAAGAGTGGGGGGTGGGATCATTGTGAGATTGGCCCGCATGGCCTGTTAGTCAGCAGAGGTATACCAGGGAGCTGGTCAACATTTATGTAATGTAATTTCAAATCTTGCATAATCATATGCTAGGACCTCTGTGGGGTCTACTTAACCCCAAAAACTGAAATTCATCTCCTGCCCTCAGTAAGAGGGTATCTGTGTATTTATGCAAGGACATCGGTCTCTTCTAAAGTCCAGTGCGTAATCGTATGACTCCTGCGTTAACATAATGCCCCATCTGAAATTTGTCCAGGTAATGGAATACCCCAAATATTGGTCGAAAGTCCTATTGAAGCTCATTAGTGCAGCAAGGTAACCAATGACTAATGAAGGCTGGGGACATACATTCCTGCAGGTTGAAGTCATTGGGAGCCTTTGCTGACCACAACCTCATGGTGTTTACGGTGTTGTTCTTGAAACCAGGCACTGGTGTGTCGTAAGGCATGGCCAGCACGACCTGCAGCACAGACGGACAGAGACATGCATCACAGACATCCTAGGCTTTCCCAAAACTCTTCCAACAGTACAGCGGCATAGTCTGGTCTGTGTTCTAAACAGAACTTACCTGAGTGTCTACCCATTTGGCCCCACTGCTAGTGTGCTCCACTCGGCCATAGAAATGGACAGGCAGCATGTACTCAGGGCGGGCCTTCTCCCAGGGGTTGCCATAGCGCAGCCAATCATCTGCTTCCTCCACCTGTGTGGATGGGAGAAGCACACTTGTTGGCACTGTTACGTCTAGGGGTATGATTCTCGCTTCTGGTGCGAGATGTCCCGGGTTCATATCCCGGACGAGCCCCCAATTTTGTTACGTCCCGGTCTAGGGTCAGGCGCGACAAAAAGTGGAGTGAGACCACTACTTTGGTATTTGCGGTGGGTTTATTAATAGTGGGAACCACTTCAGGAGCCGACAAGGCCAAAATAACAAACAAAACACCTCTAACTGGAACCAAACGAGATACTTCTTACCAAACCCAAAAAAAAAAGAAAACAAAAGTACACAAAACTAACTAAATCTCCCTGACTAACTCCAAAACAGTGAGAAAACTTAACCCAAGCAAAATGGCATCGCGCTCCCTACTTCCCTGGCTACCCACAGTGAACTCAAATGGGTGCAAACAGATATTTACAAAAACAAAATCCACAGCAACCAAATCCAAAAAAAAAAGGGCTAAGCAGAAATCAATGGTCAAACAGCAATAGGGTTAAGCACAATAAATCATCAGTGTATTCAGTCATACAGCAAGTAACAAACAAAATGGCCTCCTGTTCTTGGCCTGGACAGGCCTTATAAAGGAAGTGATTATAGGACATAGGAGGAAACCTGGCCAATCAAAACAGAGGGGAAGGTGATGTAACAGGGGGCAGGGCCAGGAACAGAATGACACACCCCCCCCACAGAAACATCCGCCCACTATAGGGAGTAAATTATCCCTGGGGGTCGTAACAGCACTACCAAAGAGAGTGAGGGAGGTGAAGTGATACAGAGCACCTCCCACACATTCCCAGCTCACCTGCCAGCCATTAGTGATCTTCTGGTTGAAGATGCCAAACTCATACCGGATCCCATAGCCGTAAGCTGCCAGGCCCAAGGTGGCCAGAGAGTCCAGGAAGCAAGCTGAGATAAAAGGACAAAGGGTTAATGTATGAACTAAGTGTCTAAGGGGAATGGCTGTCAGACCATTCAAAAGGGGAGAAATTAATTCCTAGCCAGGAGCTTCGACTCCAGAGTCCCATGCAGGTATTTGATCATTAGCTGAAGTATGATGGCTACATTCACGCAATATTTCTGAAAGGAAGGAAACTGGAGCAAGGTGATAGCATCTGCACATGACGACGCCGGCCTGGAGCCCCTCACCTGCCAGACGCCCCAGTCCACCGTTGCCCAAGCCGGCATCCTCCTCGATCTCCTGCAGCTCTTCCAGGTCCAGTCCCAGCTGGGGGATTGAGACAGAGCACAGTGTGGGACAGTAAGTTTCTGTGGTGTCTGACAGCCAGAGCTCACTGCGTTTGCACAGCATTTGCATTTTCTTATAAGTGATCCTTATAGGGTGGAGGCCCTGCTATTACACCAGAGGATGCAGAGGATTTCCTTAAGCAGGGGGAAACAGAGTGAAACAAAATATGAATCCTAACAATAACCAATAAAGTGCTATTATTCTTATTAAAGAGCTATTTAAATGAGGTTGCTATCTGTTTGAGGGCATCATCCCCAGTCATTCTCATTGGCTGTAAAAGAGCAGTGTCACCTGATAAGGACCTGACATGACCTGATCACTAGAAGCATGGGGCTGCTTGCTGTGTGACTTCAGTAGGTGGTCTCCTCTCACACGCTCCAGTGAGAGAAAAACAAGCCTCTCTCTGTATGTGGCAAAGATGGCGGCACCACCATGACAGGCCTGCAGGAAGTGACATGGCTTTCCACGTGCTCCGTGTACGCTAAGCGCTAAAGGTAGCGCAGTGTTTACACTGCACCTACCCCAGACTCTCTGCTCCTGTCACCAATACATTATAACATCACACGTGTTTTTATGTGAGAGCTGCTGCTGTCTTGTCTTTTAAGTGTTCTTTCTCTGCCACCCCTGGGTGGAATTACACCTGGTTCTAGTACATTCTGCCCCATGGGGCGTATGGTGAAGCTCTGCAAACAGAAAGCAGAGGATGGGTTCCCTGGCTGCCCTGGCTGATGTGAGTTGCTCACATGTGACCAAGGCTGCTGGGGGCTACCTGGTAGATGGCTTCGTCGCATGCATTCTGCAGGCCCAGGTTAACCATAGTATTCTGCAGCGTCCGGCCCATGTAGAACTCCAGAGACAGGTAGTGGACACGCTGGGGGTGAAGGAGATGGGAATGCAGGTCTGTTATTAGATAACAGTCCTTAAAGTCACATACTTAAATATCCCACACACATCAGTAGGCATGATAAATGATGTAAAAACTTTGAACAATTGGCATTTCCCTGTGACATCCCCCAAAATGCCCCAGGTGTCAGGGGTCCTTCTCTTGGGCTCTTAAAGCCTCATCCATGTGACATAATAAAACAGTTCTTAGCTTCTGTAGAAATGCCCTCTTTTGCAGATAGTCCCATCAACACAGAGCCCTAATTGGCTCTATTTAACTTATTCATCCTTTATGTTTTTTGGCTACTATTTAACATATAAGCAATATTATTATTCTGATTGCTGTTTAAGTGCTTCTGACCATCATGGGCTATATTTACCATGTTAAGATGTGTTCAGCTCCAAATTTTACATATCACACATTGAACACTTTTTATTAGACCCAGTAAAAAGATGAACGACAGTGCTATGCTAATCTAAAATGATAACCATCATGCTCTATAAAAATGCAGTTTCACATAGTTAAAACAGAAGTCTCAGCTGGTGTGATGCAAGCACTTGATTAGACAGTACTAGCACCGTTACAGAGATAACAGCCAGTAGTGATGCAGGTAGTGCACCAGCTGGGTAAGGCAGGGGGCTGTTAAGGGGACAGACTAGACCCTCACCCTCCCAGCTCAAAAACTGCCAAGTTTTTCTGACTGGAATCAGGGATCATGCTGTTTTTCGACTGAGTCAACACATTATTTTAATTAATATATATAAAATAACAACAAGGAAATCAGTATGTCTGTAAATCGAGGAGTGCCTTTCACATTCCTGTTACTTGACCCTGCTTTCTTCAGCTGCAGCACGTACAACAAGCACAGCTGCCAAAGCAGGAAACCCGGAAACTCTTTCAGGGAATTCACCACACCCCCTTGTTGAGCTAAAGTGCAGCCTGTCCCGACTACGGAAAATCTCACTTCGATTTTTGGTGCCACAATCACACATATAAAATTTTAAAAAGCCAAACAAGGAAGAGTCAACTGAATTGCAGAAATCCAAACAGGGTGGTCAGTAAAGGAATCCTAGAAATATGAGCTTAAAGTAAAGGAGGCCTGAACGGATGAGAGAAGCAGGCCCTGCTGTTAGGTAAAAACGTGGGCATGATTTCTCAGGAACTCTGTTACCCAATTCCTCTGCATAACAGTTGTAAACTGTGCAGCAAAATGAGCCCAAGACGTGAGTCTCAGCTGGGAGGGGGGTGGTATCCTGGCACAATATGAGGCGATTCAGTTTTGCTCCAAGGATGGAGCTACCCCTGCATGGAAATGGCCAACGTCCGAAACTGTTTAACTGCTCCAGAATCAACAAGTGATACAAGCTGACAGGTTACTACACAAGCCACAGCAAAACACGCATTCAGGAAGTTGGCTTGATCCGGATATTAACAAACAGCTTCTTGCACCTTCCCTGCAGTCTTAACCGTATTTAATTTTTCTTCATATTTAATGAGGTAACATCAAACAAGTCTACAGATAACTATGGTCAGTTCCCGTTACCTTCCTTTAACAATGTCCATTCCATCAAATATAGACTGTCCCCTTTACATGCACAGAATCTGGCACTCAACGATGATAAGCAACTTATGTTAATTTAAATGATAGACCGATAACGGAGCATGTGGGTGCTACATGTTCACAGATGGCCAGTTACTGTTTTGAAATGTGCATCCACCTATTTTCCTGCTCTTTAAGTTGGCAAAAAGGGTAAAAGTATGCTTACTGACGAATTTGTTTATAAATGCAAGTGTTTTTGTTACGACATTACGGTTTTATCGTGGGGAAAAACACTTTTTAAAACCGTGACATCGGCGTACCCAGAAAGAATCTGTTTATTTAGCCATCTTAAGTGTACTGCAAACTGAGTAATATTGTGTCTTAGCGTTTATATGCGTATAATTTTCCAAACATCCTAAACGGAAACCAGTTTAACTCACTTATTGTCAAAATTGCAAATTATTTCACTGATTTTAAAAATAAAACACAATTGAACGATTTTACCGGTTCTATTGATTTACCTGGACTCATTTCCTTAGTTGCAAAATAATACCACATTACCTTGGGGTCTTTTTCATAGTAATACTGCTGAGTGCGAATCCATCGTCCAACCAGGTGGTCTCTAACGGTGTGAGCCAGTGCGAAATAGTAATCCCGGGGGGTCGCCACATTGCGATCCTTGACAAGTGTGAAATGAAGATGCCTGTTGAAGCTCTTCTTGATCTCGGCGACATCCCCCAGCCCCGCGATCCCCCTAACACTAATTTGTTTTCTCCTCTCGTAGTCGGTCAGTGGTGTAGCCATCTTTCTGAATAATGACTCTTCGATCGACTGTATTTTAGCTTGACTTTTTTTGGTCCTGTGGATAGTTAAGCGCAAGGCAGACTGGCAACTGTTGCACACCTACAAGAGACTTTGCAACAAGGGCGAGCTGCAACCACACCCCCGCAGGCCGCGTAAGTCAGGAGAGAGGCTGAAAGGCCTTTCAGTCACTTCCTCATTGGACTGCAAAGCGGACTGCGCCTGACGCAAGATTCCTGACACCGCTACGTGGACTTCTTAACGCGGTCCCTGGTGCTGGTGGTTGCTTATTTGTTATCGTACTTTGCATATGCTGCTCAAAGGCTTTTATATCTTTACATGTAAATGTTTTTTCTTGTTCTTCTTGACATTAAAAAAAGATTCTAATTCGTTCCTAACTTTTCTCGTTCGCGTTACAGAAAACACTTATTTATAGGAATTGGGGAGACATTCAGACCTTGTGGTTCAACTGAATGTGTACGAAGAAGAGGCGGAAAAAGTCCGAGAGTTGCCCAAATTGTACCCAAATTACGAATTGTGATACTGTAATTGGAGTTCGTGATGTGCGTTCAAAATGATAAAGCCCTGGTTGCATAACGGTAGTTTCTCACTTTAAACACAAAAAGATAAATGCCGATTGGCGCAATACACAATTCTTTTACCATCATAAAATCTTACCAGAAACAATCTTCCGAAATATTTATAAAGATGTTACAAGTAAACATTTCTGTTACGCTGTTGTAAGTAGAAGTCAACTACAGGCTACGCAGTGGTGCCCGCCGAGAATTTTGGTTAGGGTGGTCAGCAGGAGCCAGTCACAGGTCTATTGATCGCGTCGCATCGTGTCTCATCTATGATTCCGCTTAGAAAATAATCTATATTTCGTATTTTGATGTGGCGTGTCCACGTGTTTACACTCAGCCACCACTTAAATCCGCCCCTGAGTATACTTTGAATTTGAAACCACATAAAAAGTATAAAGCGTCCATTCAGTCATTTAACATTTGCGATAGTGGGATGGTTTTTCCTTTAGGTGACCACCGAAGTAGTCTGCCATTTAAAGTCAGCCATAGACTTATGCAATTAACCGAGATGTTGGACACGAATGGCAATGTTTGCTCAGATTGATTATTACCGAAATGTATATTTACATGGTGTTCAGGGGCGGATCATTAGAAGCTCTGCGACTCCACATTTCAGCTGACTTTTCATAATATCGTGTATCGCCAATAAAAATATAGAAGTGTATTTCCATCATCTCAACAGATTCACCGCAGCTGGCGTTTCTTGAAGCTTTTAAAGTTTAATATCAAAGCAGCTGTTTAAGTCTACATGAGTTTAAAACTATTTCGAAGGGTACGGGTGTCCTGAGTCACGTGACTCATCCTAATAAAATGTTACGGCCGTCAGGCCCTTCAGGTGTTTGCTCCAACGGTTATTTCGTACCATCCGCTTGCAGGTAAGGATGTGTTCGGTGGTCAGTACAGTAACGGACAGGTGGTTCCCGATGATTTTTTTTTGTGTAGTTTAATTTTACATCTGATGATTTGGAAGCGATGAAAAAGATTTGGCATTCACCAGAAAATCAGTTGATTTTAGCCTTTGTGGGTATGAGCTTTGCCTTCCAACATCAACAGTCGTGTTGTAATAAGTTGGCGTTAGACGACACGTTGATATACGTTGTTTGTTTCCTATTCTTTTATTTAGTCATGTTGACTACCTCCCAAAAGCACAGAGACTTTGTAGCGGAGCCCATGGCGGAGAAGCCAGTCACCGCTTTAGCCGGTATTGGAGATGTTCTGGGAAAGAAACTCGAGGAACTGGGATTTGATAAAGTATGCTGGGTGTTTTTCATATGCAACGCTGTTCTCGTTCTTTGTAATCCAACATATTTCCAAGATCTTAACATGTTCTTTTTACACTATACATCTTACGGCGCTTTTCCATGGCCCCCAAGAACCAAGCTGTACCATAACCATTCTGCGAGAGACTGTTTTTCCTTGTAAATTATGCGAGTTGCCCCTGCTTTTACTAAAGCTGTTTGCGTCATCACTATCTGATTGGTCGAAATGCACGGCGTTTTCTATGCAGCGGCTCATGGGAATTTCACTTACACAGGGTATTTTTCAATATGCCTACTTTACGGTACTTTTGTACCTGTTTTACATAATCTTCCATTGCCGAAGACCAATTCCAATACTCAAGAACAGAAGTACAGAGGATGCCCCAAGTTTGTTCTTGGAAGACAAGTTTGCAAGTACAATGTTTGCATTCTTGGTACCGAGAAACATCCAAAAATCTTGAGGGCAGAACGAAAAATGATTGGTTCAGAGTGGTAACTAATCAGATTGTAGAGATGTTGGATCCAAGCGACTAGAAGAGGCGGGACCAACCAATCCGATGTCTTGGTTCTATATTTTGTTGCTTGGACCCACCTTCTCTACAATTTTCTTCATTTTCCCTTCTGCCCCCAGAACTTTTTTGTGCAAGTAAAACTACCGCGAGCTGATCAGTGTTACTATGTATGGATATATTCTATATATAATTCATTATTAGTATTATCATAATGTTTTATGCTTTCCTGATAACCCCCTACGTAAAAAGTATTAGAGAATGACTGAGCGGAATGGATTTGTTAAGCAAGTTTTAACCTAATGCTGTTCGTGATCGATGCCAATATAATACAGCGATTTCTCACAGACGTGCTAGCAGAAATTACCTCATAGTAAAGCATGGGGTGTTTCTCAATACCAAGAGTGCAAAGATCCTACTTGTGGTCTTTGCAAAACCAGTCTTGCTTACTTGCCTCCCAAGAATGAGCTTGGGGCACAATGAATCATGGGATTGGTCTTGTTTGGCGAGGATGCAACCCAATGATGTATTTTTACTAGAATTGGTATCATTTGACTGCAAATACAACAGCTTGACCACCATATTGGAGAAGTCAAAGCAATCCTTCACACTGCAGTTTTTGGCTGCAGAAATCAGCGTTGGTCCTGCTCCAGTGATATAATCTTTCACCTGTTAGTGTGTTTACTGATAATTGTATATTTTCGTATTTACATTCGTGTGATATTCCCTTGCAAACATACATTTTTGCAGTCTTCAGAGTAGTGCTGGACAGTGTACCTGTTCGTCCGGCATACCAGTTATAATTTCCCATATGTTATAAATTTATACTGTTAGCAAAGCTGAAATGGCAACTGTGATTGAGTGTGTATAATGTAGTAAAAAATCATTTGAAATAATGAAATACCCAGCACTTGACTCGTTAGTTATGTCGTGACATACTATTAGTATTCTTAATTGTTTGTATTTGGGAAGTTGCAGTGACATGCAGAATTTTATTTTAAAGAAATAATGGATTAGCCACTATGCCAGCCTTTGTTTGGACTGATGAATGCGTTTTTTTTTTTATTACTTTATTTTGTGCAGCAGTCAAACATAATTAGTTTTTAAACTTTGTTCAGGAAGTTGCAGTGACATTCAGAATTTTAGTTTGAAGGGATTAAAGATGTCAGCCTGTGTTCAGGCTGTAGTGGAAATACCTGTTGCCATTTTAATTTTATCTATATGCATGCTTTTATTTCAATATGGGTCCTTGTTTTGGTTATTTTTCAAAACTAATGTCCAATGATTTCAAAATCATATTCCAGATAAACTATAACTGTAGGTACTTTATTGATGCCGAAGGAGATTCAGGCTTTTGATAGCTTGCACATAAAAAGACCACCATGCAAAAGAATAATAGGAAGAAGAATAATAGTTTAGTTTGTATAAAATTTGCATGAAAATTGTCACTTGCATTGTTTTACATACAAACAATGGATGGAGCAACTTCTTCAAAATGGCGCCATTCTCTACACCCCTTGGCCTATAGCTGGACACTGGCCTGTCGTGTCTAGTAAATATGTTATTGATGTAACTGATGTATCCTTGATAACTAGGGCAGGGCAAGCATGACATCCAGGGATTTTTACTGTCCTATGTATGCCTGTTATTAGTATTGGAAGTGGACTTTGACAAAGGAAAATGCCATAAAATGAGTACATGAGAATACAAGTACATATTAAGAAATACCCATGATGTACACCATGTGAATGTCTCTTTGGTTTTTGCTCCAAAGCCGGGAATGCCTTTACCAAACCAACACTTTTGCAGTGGAAAATTGAAACGAGCTGTAATCACACCATAAGTAGCATATCTTGCCAGTACAGTCTGGATCCTGTATGTCAGTGGAAAAGCGCCATTAAATTCTAAGTAGCTTATAATACACCAAGTTACCATGCTAATGCAGTACTATAATTCTTTAAACACGCTGAACAAGTTGGAGCTGTGTCATTTTTTTGTGACAACAGTATAGCACTGTTAGCAGTTTAAAATAGAATTAATTCCGCGTGGCTTCCGCTTCCCCACTCGATGCAGGCATATGTGGTTCTGGGTCAGTTCTTGGTGCTGAAGAAGGATGTAGAACTCTTCACTGAGTGGCTGAAGGACATATGCGGCGCAAACTCCAGACAGGCGGCCTCATGTACCCAGTGTCTGAAGGAGTGGTGTGATGCTTTCCTGTGAAGACTGCCTAGCCACATCTGTCGGCCAACTGCTGTTTTGTAGCTTTGTATGTATGGAAACTATTTATTCTTTTAACGGAGGGCACTTTTGTGAGTGTTTTGAAAATAAAGTTGGAAATAACTTCATTAACCAGAATGTACAGCTTTTTCCAAAAGAGCAATGACTGATGAAAGTTTGAGATCTGAATTTAATGGTAAAGTATACTGATTTAATAAACTGACCTGTTGACACTTGGTCATTAGTCAAACTTAATTTGGGAGGAACTTAATTTTGGCTGTGAAATGGCAATATTGTTGATTCAAGGTGGAAAACGCATTTGAATACTTCTATTGTGTTGCCAAGTAAACGGGAGAGGAAGGCTTCACAATGGCTTTCATCTAGTGGTGGACAGGGTTCTGCTAATCTAACCGCTAACTAGTTTTTTGTAAATGGATTAATGTTTCCACTAACTTTGAAAACTGTCAGGGGACCAATCAGCTTCCACTGACATTTTTTCACAGGTAAAGTGAATGAAGTTTAAGTCAAAAACATTTTTAATCCTAAAATCATATATACTGTATTTGTTACTGTCTGTGTGTCTGCAACACACTATCCGGCACACAGTTTGTTGAATGACTGCATGTAAAGACAAGACATGATTGGTCAACTTGTTGGATTTAATGTAGTCTGGGCTAAAAGTGAGTGAGTGAAATTAGTCCATTTAAACTGGGGTACCTGTATCACGAAGCTGGATTTCTTGCTTAGCCAGATAACTTGATTGAAGGTACACTAGTTTAAATGGACTTATACAGACCCCCAGTTGTATTTTCTTGGTTCTGATTGACAGGGCTATAGATCAATAAAGACCTTCCTACCTAGCTCTGGATAAAAGGCACCATGTTTGTAGTCCCCAAGCAGCTTCACTGAGGGCAAAATGTCAGCATCAGCCAGATGTGAATTAGGGATTCACCAAAATGCTTATCTTACAAACAGAATATTATAAAGAATTTTCAACGCAGATTTATTTGAGACTACAGAATCCAACAATACCCAGTTGGGTAAGTCCCTTGGTAATCAATTTAGTCTGACAGATGGGACATAGTGTTAAAATTTTAGTTCTCTAGGTTCTTTTACTGTTTTATTGGTTTAGCATTGGGGCTAAGCCTGTGTACACACACAAGGTCCCCGGTTCAAACCCAGCCTCAGCACATCTGTGGGTCCTTGAGCAAGGCCCTTAACCCCCAGCTCCCTGGGCGCCCCAATAGGTGGCTGCCCTTCGCGGACAACTTACTCTTCAAAGAGCAAGTTGAGGGAGGCGTAAAAACAATTTCCCCACAGGGATCAATAAAGTATCAATTATTACTGAATTACATTTTGGAATTAGCAGACTGGCAGTTATTGAACCTAAATTTAATTAGCTGTGCCTACCACTGTCAACATAATCTGACTCTAAATATCTAGTGCAGAGATGTGGTGATTTAGTGGACAAATGTGCTTTGGAAACGTATTTTAATACAATGTCTCGTTTTAAGAATCCAATGCTATCCGCAGTGCCTGGGTCCAAGGCACGCTCCGGGGACTAAATTCGAACACAACTTAACTTCACGTCTCGAGCTGGGGGACGGACGCTGTAAACTAGACGTAAACTATAGTCTGATGGTAAATATGAACAGAACATAAAGTATTTAAAAACCAAACAAGTGCAATACGTGCCATGGTTTATAAACCAAAGAGAACTTAACTTAAGGGGGACATACTGTTAAGAAGCAAGGTAAACTAAAAAGACTCGTGTGTGACGTCATTCCAACCTCCGATGTATACAGAACGTAGCATAAATTCATTACACTGCTAGCTAAGGAAAGTGTTTAATTTTATGGTAGCCAGCTTAATTTTAATGTTATGCAATTAAGCCCTATGCATTTTGAAGGAAAATGTAGAGGAATGCCCCTCCAATGTCCACGGTCTGATAGGGTGTTTTAATGCTTTTATGACATGTCCCATATGAAGAGGCCTACTGTTTGTACTAGTGATGAGTAATAAGGATGAGCAGATCGATACTAAAATATCAATTCCTTCTGCATTGATTATTCCATTTTGCTAATTGATTCTAACGTTAAAATTTCTTCTTTGATCTGGTAATTGAAATGTTTATATTTTAGGGAGCAGGTTACGATACTACCAGGCAGGGCTGCCAATAAGGGGGACACGTACAGGGTATCAGACGCTAGTGACTACGGAAATGGAACGATGGATCCGACAGCTGATTATATCGTCAGCACTGTCCCCATTAGGCAACTTTTACCATCAGGGTTGGGCCGTCGATGAATATCAGTATCGGCAATAGCAATCTTCCTCCGCTAACAATATAACGTTCCAGAAAGTTACATTTAGGGTATGGAAACATTGAGTATACAGTTTTCCTGGTGTCCCGAGAATGATATCTCACTACTACAACTATACAAAATAATATATAAAAATAAAGGGCATAGTAGAGCAGTGGGTAGTACTGTGGTTTCACACCTCAGAGGTCACAGGTTCAAGGCTGGATGGTGTGTGCGCAGTATATGCTTATGGCACTTTCATAAAATATTTAATTATAAATTTTATTCAACAAATTGCATTAAAAGAATGTTCAGGTAATAATGTTATTGTGCTGACTTTGGCAGATTATTTGTTAAAATGTAAAACGAGCAAATAACGCTCCATTAATGTTACAGTAAGAACATTCCTTGCCAACTTTAAGACCTTCACATAACATTGGATAAAGTTCTGGCAACATTAGCTGGGCTGGTACAGGATCAAATTGGATTGAAAAGTAAATTAGTGGTTGCCCATCCATAATAGTTTGTGACCGAGCCAGTTCCTAAGGCTGGTTCATTGGTCCCAACAGTTATTTATTTATTTTTTCCACACTAAATATTTTACAAGTCTGAATTAGGTTAGAAATGGTCCCACAATGCCTGACTGGTTTGGGAATATATATTTCAAGCCAAATTTCATATGAATGGTGAGGTGGTGGTCTTCAATAAAGAACCACATTGAAATGGGCTCACTGACTATTGTACGATGCAAAACATTTGCCATTGTAGTTGTGTGCATTTAGTGTTCAATTTATTTGAATGCACAAAATCTGTTTACATGAGTTTTTAAAACAACAATATTGCAGATAAATATGGAGTATTCTATTTAAATGGAAATTGGGTACTACTGACCAAAGAGCTATTTGTTCAAGTTGAGCCAAATAACCATCCCTAGTTCACACAAAATATGACACATTCTCTGTGATTCACAGGTCACAATATAATGCCAACACCATTCACCCTTCAGCAGGCATTCCACCTCTCCAGAGTCTCCAAGAAATTGACAGCAGCTCCCTCACACGGGCTAATGATGTGCAATGTCCCAGAAATTTGTCCACAAAGAATTATAAATGATCAAAAGTCAGTCTGCTATTCAACAGAGGAACAGGCAAGAAACTCTGCAAATGTTGCTGCCACCCCCAGTCAACTCCCAGCTGGTTTTCTTACATCCACCTCCCTGAAATCAATGTCTAAGGTGGGATGTCTGCTCTAGATAAGTATGTTATACTGCAGTGTTTTCTCTGTTCCTTCAGGAGCAGCAACATAATGAATTTTGGCCAGAAAGACAGAACAATGGCTGCAGGGTATTCCTGTCTTGCATCACAGTCCAATATGTCGGTATAGCATTAAAACAGATCATGAATAAAGACACCAGGATCCTAGGAGAACGTAAAGAAAGAATATGCACCAGCTGTATCTAGAAAAAAGGTACAGCGGACTACGTCCTTTGGAATCCATAATATGACAATGTCTTATTTCCAATACTGTATTCAAAGTATCAACTTGTAGAAACCAGACCACACCCCTGGACTAAAAAAAAAAATAATAATAATAATAATAATAATAACCTATATCGTACCTTCAACTAATCACAAGTGAAATCTATGTAATCATGCTTATTCAAACAATATTTGCTGTATTAGAAAAATACATCAGTCATACAAAGCACAGCACACATTCAGACTTTCAAAGAATTTAACAATGCCCAAAGAAAGGAAATTCCTCTATGGAGAAAGACCTCACTTTAGCATTCCAACAAAGTTAACAACAAAGCCAACAGCTGCTGTGAAGACTCCCAAGTCAGTTCAACAAGCACTGGGACCGAGGAAGACGAGTCATCGACTCGTTAGCGTTGACAATGTCAGCTGCTTTATTGCCTACGCAAGGACTCGAGGTAATGGAAAGTGGCTCCCAGTGCCCAGCTGGTCTCTGCACCATTTATCTTCCTCGCCAGCTGTAAATACACATCATGGTCATTTAGTGCAACCTAATTTTTTCAACCCACATTGCAATATGATGCTCCTGCAACAAGTTATACAGTTTTGTGGGCTGCAGACTTGTTTCATGCCAGGTATGGTAGGTTGGCATCTTATTGAAGTAAAAATAGTGTTTAAATAGTTACCTTTAACACTTTCTCCTTTGGGAAACCCAGCTCTTGCAGCAGGAGTGATAAATAGGTGAGGTCCAAGCAGAGAAAAGGATGTTCTCCTGGAGTGATTTCCATATTACTGCATACTAGGTCAAGAAAAGATGGGCTATCAAGCATGTTAAAATGTTTCTTTGAGTTTTTTAGAAATGTTTTGTGCTTTTAGGGGATGTTGTCATACCTCTTTTGGCAGAATCTATATAGTTATTTACTTCTATCGTGCCACCTGTCTCTTCATCTGAGCCAGAAAGGGAGAAACATTTAACATTTGTAAATGGCACAAAACCATTTTATCATGAATGTACTGAATGCATGTTTCAAGCTAACAGAAGTATTACTCTGCAGCTCAAGGTTCTGCTTTCCTAGATAAACAAGCAGGGTTCCTACCAATTGCTGAAATGTCGACTGCTCTATCGTAATAGTAGGAAAAGGCATAGAAATCCATATTTTTGACCTCTTCTGCTTTTTTAATTTTGTTGTACAACACCTTCTCCACCTTCTTATAGCAGGACTCATACATGGGTTCACCTGCAAACAGTGAAGTAATTTTTAAAATGTTTACATATAAACTCAATTTTTTTTAAAGGCACACTACAAGTGGTATACAGTGTGATTGGCTGTGTTGAAGCAAAATGATCCATGTCAACAGTAGTCAAAATCTTCCTAGAAAAGTTAATTTGTCTGGACAGTAAACTAAGTCAACAGCTAAACTAGATTTATAAATATGGCCATTTTAAAACAATCTAAAAGTTGTGTAAATGTAACATTTTTCGATAAGAGTAATAATCACGTACAGTACCTGCTTTCTGTCCTTTGACTATGTATTGTACTTCAGCATGTTCCCACTGGCCAGTAAATTGAGGAGACAGACATGGACTAACCAGCTCTTGGTTGCCATCTATTGTTCAAATAGAGAATGTGCAGCATTTCAGCAAAAAGTATCATTCAATGACGGTTGTAAATGTTTGTGTAAATGAATTGTTTTGGTGTTGGAAGAAACATGACTGATCCATTTTTATGCATTGTGTAGCTTGTGAATAAAGGATAGCATAAATGTGGCAAAATCAAAACTAAATGAAATCTTATCACTTTAACTTCATGTTAAGTGCTGTGAGTCTACTTGGTGAGCTTAAGTACCACGTAGCTGCCTGACTAGCAGAAAGAAAAACAATGTTATGTCATTCCACTATTCCGCAAAGGGTCAACTCATCCACTAGGCAAGTCACTCAGATGTTAGCCGGTTATTCGTATTGGCAATATGATACAAAAACATTTTGGTTATTGATATTGCTTAAAATGTACATACTGGTGCACCACAAGCTGCCATCAAAGAAATTCTTTCCACTATGTTATTAAAATACTAGATAATGGTTTGTTTATGGACTTCTTTAACAAAGTTGGTTGAATTAATAATTACTTACAAGCCTCTCCTTCAATTCCGCCCAGGATGGCAAGTCTTGCTGACATGAGTCCCAGCCCTAAGTAGCTGTTTGGAATAGAGGAAGAGGCACCACTGTGACACCACTTGCTTTGCAGGGTAAGGATACAGTTTGACCTTAAGTGACCATTACAATTAAATGCAATCAAAGGTTTTGATACTGCAAACTAGCCTTCAGCTGGAGTTCTGTAAGGCTCCCACATCTGCCTCCCACCCCTGAAAATTCAGTCTACCTGTGTGCATAGAGCGTATGGGTGCTGTTGAACATCTGAAATGAAGTGATGTCATCAAAAGGAGAGGTCTGAATGGTTTTCTAAAAATTCAGATAATTTTAAAGGGCATTATTAGAGAGAACAATCAGATATTACCTTGAACATGACCACAATCTTTTACCTCAGTAGGTTTTGTTCCTAACAGCACAATGAAGACAACAGTAGTCTGCCTGAATTATCTAACTTAGCCATTTAATACCATTTTCAGAACCTTTAATCTGTCCCTCAGTTGTGGCTGGTAATATTCATATATGTGATTTACACGAACTGTGGCACAATCTCCTTTTGAGAGTTCATCCAATAATCAGTAAATAACAGGATAGCAAAAGCAAATTTCAAGTGTTTTGAAAGTAATGGTCTGGAAAATTGGCCCTCAATCCTGAATCTACAAGACCTGACCCAGTTTAAGAACAAGAATCCCTTCCCCTATTAAACATTAATTTAGCTACCAGCCACTGGGATTAAGGAAGCATTTGTGGATTAATCTACAAGGCATGCTTCCTATGAGTGCATGCATTTAAAGGGGTTACAGCAGATCCAGCCTTGCATCTCACCTCATCCTGTGTTGAGAAGGTGATCTGGGTGGAGCCCCCTCCCAGGTCCAGCATGCCTACAGTGGGCTGTCCTGAGCCATGGAGACTCCCTGCAGTTAGAAAAGGGCTAGTCTGACTACACAATGGAAAATCAGCCTTCCACACTGCTGAGAATCATGTCCTTCCATGGTCCAGGAATGTATGGTTTAGTTGAATTGTAGTGTGGAAATTGGCCCTTCATATGTGAGTGCGCATTCTGTCATGTACTGGCATCCCATCCTGGGAGCACAGTGGTGTTTGCTCCATCCTTGCACAGGCTAGCAATTCACTGCAACCCTGTCTAGGATCACTTACTGTTATAATGCTCTAGGTGAAAGTGCATCGAGGACAACATTCCTACCTATTAAAAAGTTGACAGTGATCCATGCAGAAACACCTGTGTGGGGTCAAATTAAAATATAAAGACGCCAAATAATTGAATATCGACTCCTTTACTGTTTTCAGGTTTTAAAAGCTACTCTACATTTAATTACTCCATACGGGGTTCATTTATGATCCAGTACAACTATTAACTAATAATTTGCAGCGCTCTAAAATGTAAGTTAAAATATAAGTAAAGTTATACATCAATCTGCAATGGCTTGTCCCTTGTGACAACTGAGCCACACCCGTGAGGCTCCAAAAATGTAATTTTCTTCCCCTATACCTGCTATGGCAGTACATTTAGCTATCATTTATGGCACAATAAACACCGACAGTGAGATTATTCTCTATAGTTTTTTTTTTTTTTTTTTGCCATACACGGATACATTTACAAGAAACTATACTATGTGTGCCTACTAGTTAGACACCAAGCAAGGCATAGAATTAACTCATGAGTGCAGTTTGAAGTCATCTGACAAATGTGCACATTTCTGGATAGTTTTTTACTCTAATAACTTGTTCAACAGAAGCAAAGTAAAATGGAAGGTGCTCCTAATCCATTAATCACTGTGGTGTAACACTGCTTGAATTCCATGCTTTTTTTTCTTGTTTGTGAAATGCGAAATATTATTTCTAAGACATCTCGGGTTTCTTTCTTTCTTTCTGTGGCCTTAATATAACAGGCAGAGCCAGGTGAGAAGGTGAGCTCATCAAACAGTTCGCGCCATACCTTCATCAGTGCCATCCATTATGGAGACACCGTCTGGTCTGGACAGAAATGGAGACTCTTCAAAGACATTCCTCACCTTGGCAATCAGAAATATTCAGGTCAGTATAGCTGGTTTGTACAGAACAGCTTATTGATAGAAAGTAACATACTACAGTAAATAGCTTGAAAAGGTGCATATTATATTATATTCAAGCAATCCAACTTTCCATACACAGAAGTTTACTTTTGAATCTACAGTATGACTGTCACATTTTTGGAACCATGAAATATTAACACGGAGGTGGTGAACAGACCAGTAATTAAGTGATTTTAAAGTGCTAACTACTTATAAAAAGTAATAACATTACTAGAAAGATTCCCTGAAAAAGGCCGCCTGATTGGATAGCCATCTGTGGTTTTCTCACTCTGAGTACCTGAAGGTTTGTTAGCATGCTGCTTTAAGTCCCTACCTTGTCCAGCAGGTGAGTAGCCTTTTCTCCAGGCAGTAGGCGTAGCCCTGCAGTGGCCTTTAGCACTAAAGGTGTCTTCTCCCATAAGAGCACTGGGATGCTCTCTTTGGCCACCATCAACAATTCTTGTATACCCTCTCTACACTGAAAAATCAGGAGAAAATAAGATTGTTTAGGCGAATAACTCAATGACCAGCCAAACTGAGACTGGCTGAAAAATTAGGAAATTGCATGTTGCAATATGTATTCATCCAACAAGCAAACAAAAAGTAATCATAATGCATAACTCATTATAAATCATTATAGTATTGGCTACCTTATCTGGATCATCAGCATATGCAGATAGCCCAGGTTTTATTGCTCTGAATGTTTCATGTGCTAATTTGGGAGCTTCTGTCAACAGAAAAAAATAATTACTTCAAACCACAAAACCAGTTATGTCATTAGTGAGGAGTTGAAAAATGTGCACTGTAGCAACAGTTTATCAGTTGAGGTACTATATGCAAATATACACGCCCAATTATTTTTCAGAGCCATTACAAGATGGCTGCATAATGTCAAAAGCCATTTTTAATTCCCTAAATTTCTTTAAAGTGTGTACGGTGGAGAAGAAATATCTCTGATGGTTTACAGTAAAAGTTTAATGGGATTTATAATGTTAATACACTGACAAATTTATAAAGTTAATCTTAGAGTAAAGAAGCATAGGATCTCAATTCTGGACATTTTAAAATAAATGTATAGTCATTTCCCCAGTATAAAGACAGCAACCTAGCATTCCCAGAGTCCTTTGTGACTGTGACAACTGTATGTTTCTGATAGTGAAGCTTTTAAACATGTCAGTTTCTTAATGGCGATCATCATATGTTTACTGATAAAACCTATTATAGTGTTTACATTTTACTCAGCAAATGCTTTTATCCAATGCAGAATACATTTTCACAAAGCAGGGTCAGGGGACGTCTGTGGTGTAACTGGGGGTTAAAAATCTTGCTCAGGGGCCCACCAGTAACTTCACTCTGCTGACCCTGGAATGTGAGCCAGTGACCTTCCAGTCACTACCACAGCAGCCTATCCCACTGAGCCATGTACCACCCCAATCTGTTAAGCAATCTATCTTAACAACAGAGCAACAAAAAAAAGCACCCAAGCAGCCAAGGGAAAATGCTGATAAATGAAATGGTCAGCAGACATGAGGTTTTTTTTTTAGGACTTCTGTGAAAAATGTGTTTCTGCTCAGGAAGAAAACATCAGGACATACCGTGTTCCTTTAATAGAAACTTGAAGACATGAATCCTTGTCCCTGTACTCCCTGCATCAAACATGATGCCATACTGAAAGTGTCTGCTGTCTGCCTCTTCGCGGGCTGGTTCATTGCTATCACCATAGTCTGTGATGGGGACATAGTTTAGCGCTTTGTGAAGTGCTGGCTTAATACCATCAAAATGCCACTTTACGTATGTGAGGTAGGCTACTACACAGCCCACGAAAATGAAAGCACTGGCTAGCTTTGGTATCCTCATCTTCAGAGAGCACAAGGCACATAACTGATTCTCCTCCTGAGTTTAGCAGGCCCCATTCCGTCCAATGTTCATACTGTAACAACATAAAACATCTTTCAGCACAGTAAATACAACTATTAGAAACATACCCAACTGCTGACTGCTTATTATAATAACTCTTCCTACGATAACATATACAGAACATACAGTGAATAACAATAGTCTGTCGGGTATTTTAGGTATATTTTAATGTCTAGTCTACTCTGTCTATTATTAAATTATTGGTATATTGGAAGCAGTATATCTGTCTGTAAAGTTAAAATGGCCACACTGTCGAAAGATGCCTGTAGGGGGCCTCGCAGCGATACCCTTAGGAACAAAAAGCAACAATGTGCACCCAAGAAGTTTTTTTAAATTTGAAATCGATTAATTAAGCAACGATTCCATGACAAAATAGTCAACTAATAAAGTAATTTAACTTTTCTGTTTCTAAAAAATGTATCCCATGACGACGTGTAATAGTCAAGTCGTAACACTGAAACAAGCGCTGTATTGAAAGCTTGAGCAAATACCTATGCAAAACAAGTTATCCAACCGGCTATGTCACATACCACAGTAATCGAAACAGGAAAGCAGTTAGTAGAATAGTAAAACTTCTGATTTCTAAAAATGAATACATATTGTTATGTCTACTATTTATTATTTAGATGTCAGCAAATAAGACTGAAATATAACCACCGGTCCATCACATCTAAAACAAATATACAAAGTCTGTGTAAATGTTTAAACATTCCAGTAGCGTAAACGAACTGAATACTTAAGTCGTCATAATTACCTGTTTTTAGATCACGGTTCTACACCGCACTTTGCAGTTCATCGTCCGCCTTGGGGTATTCTGTCAGCCGGCAAGAACCTACTTTGCCAAACGTTCCTTCACAACTCAGCCAACACAAGGCGTCTCTGTTTGATGACGTTGGCTTGCGCCTAAGGAAGATCACGTGGAAATTGTAAAAGCAGTTTTTCGGGAGTGCAGTTGGTTTCTTATGAGTATTAGGGTTGCGAACTCTCACGTGTCTGGTTTAACTCGTATTTTCCGACAAATATATTATTTCATTATAAACCTGAAATTACCCACATCAAAAGCGTAATTGTAATTTACTGGTAATAAAATCGTGACACATGTAAATGTGTGTGCGTGTCCAGACTTGTCTCGAATTGAAAGTCTCACTCCTGTCAACTGCCCAAACTTAGCAACCCTGCTTTTATTTCATATTAAAATAACTTTGTATGATGCTTATCAGACCAATGCGCCTGAAACATTATCAAAAATAAAAACGTAATGAAGAAGCATGTCTTATTTTCTGTAGCAAATATTACTTGTGTTCTGCCTCGTATTCTAGCTGTAGCAGGGCGTTAAATAATTAATCGTGTTATATATTTCCATTGTGTTTGGTTAACGTTACAAAGAGAAATTTGACGAAGTGGATGGAGGTGAAAATTTTATTTTCACTGTGACTGATCCGATATTGACGCCTGTGCTATGCCTGATCATATTTGTTTCCATAAAATCCATAAAATATTTACCCATTGACCAAGAGTGCTCAAATTCAATAAGTATACCAGAACATTCATAGTAATTTAAAGGGAGTTACTGCAATTCCAGGGACCCCTGAGTGATAGATTCCCGTAAAAAGTGTATAACATAATTGATTTGGCCTGGGTTGAGGGCCTGAAATCTCTAGCTGCACCTCAAGAACCTTAGAGAATAATCAAAATACAAAAAGGGAATTAAAAAGAAGTTGATTAATCCCTTTAAATGAATTAACATCATAACATAATGTTTATATAATATAAATCTATCACGTATCACACTGATTGTGCACTGTTGGACTGAATGTACCACTTTGACTCCAAATAGTATAGATGCATAATTACTGTGCATAACTTACAACATGCTACATGGACATAAAGTTTTGTGCCCTTGACCTTAAGGGTGTTTTGCATCTACTTTGTCTTCTTCAGAATAACGTAGTAATTAACAATAATTAATATTAACTAAATAATTACCTAAATCCATTTTCTGAAAGGACAGACATATAATCTAACACTGGTTATCTATTTACTGTGTGCTATTTGTTTTTAACTTTCCCTCATCTTTCTGCCGAAAGACAGCTCCACATAAAATATTAGTCTTAAACAGTCCCGAATTCTAATGCCCATTCAAAACTTGTGGTTTTGTTGTATCATTTGAGTAAAAACAGAGCAACTTCAAAACCATTACACAATATAACATCTAAAACAAGCTCCTGAAGCACTTTAAAAACTAAATGTAGGTCTGATTTGTCTAACCCAAACTGGTAACAATAGTTCCTAAATGGCCCGGGCCTTTTGGCAGTTTTGGTAGTAGGCAAGCCATTTGCTTTTCCTTTCTTCCCCTCTTTAAAAAGAAGATGCAAGGCCAATTAAGCTTACATTGTCACTGTTGACAATATGGCACCAGCTGGTCTGCCCTTGGCCAGCGCGTGTCAGAGGCACTTCCCCTCTATGTCTAGCAATAAGCAGTTTTGTTACAATTTACCAGGCCGGGTCAATAGGCCTCCTAAAGCTTCTCTATTCATTACCTCAATTAACGATCATGAGTCTTGAAATATGGGCCAGTCTGTTTCCTCTGTCTGTCTCTGAAGCACACACACCTTCATGCACACATTAGGGGCCACAACTATATGTATGTTAGCAAATCAGTGACCCGCATTGTGATGCCTTGTGTGAACAATGGGGGAAGGAGGGTATTCAATTAGTCCCTTATTCAGTGTGCCTGTGGGATGCTTTGAAAGGGCCATATGTGTGCACTGTGAGTGTCTATGCACAAGTGTTCTGAACAGAAAACTGTTTATCCTGTGAACCACCCCTATCTGCATTCAAAAATGCGATGCAATGATCCTGGGGTGTGGAGTGCTGGTGGGGCCGGCGTTGTGGTGGCTGACCCCCCCCCCCTGCATATCACAACCACTCCAACTGTTGCCTTTTTTTTTTGGTTGGAGGGAAGAGAAGCTTTCAATCCAAAATGAATGCACACATGAGTAAGCCTAATGTCGGCCCACCAGTCATTACAGACGCCCGTTAACAGTCACAGCACAAAAGGCCATGTCCCCCCCACCACCACCACCGGTGACCTGTGATGAATATTGTACGCCACATTTAATTTATGAATTGGCAGGTTTTGGATTGCTCTGTGCCTGATTGGAAGCACTGTTTGGGGGGAAGCAAAAAAAAAACAGCAAGAAACCAAAACAATACTGCAGGATATGTCAGTAACCAAAGAAACATTCTAGCCCTATTTTTATTTATCATTTGGCTGTTTTAGTTCTCTTTAATGGCTTGTTTTCCGAGCATGACGGCAGATTAAATCCTGTGATGAGTACCTCCTGAATAATAAGAAAACTCCTTAATCTCCTTTACAGCACTAAACAGTACCTAATCTTGGTTTATTGGTTATTCTAAATACAAATAGCCCTTGAAAAAAGAACCAGTTGTATTTTTGAAAGTCTGGCCTGAAATGAAACGGCATAAATCGACTTGGTCATTGTTTTTTATTACCATAGTGGTTTTACAGTGAATGCTGTAGGAATTCTCAGAAAATCTCATTGAAGACATTTTAATTTAATTTCTTCGATATAGTTATATCAATCCGGCTTGAGTGATGCAATGAGCGATTTTCCTTGAAGTAAGCTTTTATATCATAATAGTTATTATATGCCAGCATCTGCTAATTGTGTTTTTATGACACAATAGAAACCTCAGTAAAAAGTAGCCCTATAGGATTTTGATTGTATATTTAAAAATTACATGAAACATGGAAGTAAATATAAATAAACCACATGTAATCAGTATATGTGGATATGTATGCATTTTAAGGATAGCTACTTTTTAAATGAAGTACAGTTCATCTCTTTCATTAATTTAGTTGTTTAATCACATTTACTTCTTTGACAATGAATAAAAACTATTCAATTTTTTTTTAAAAGCCAAATAGTTTTTCTAGATATTGCTCACATTTGACTAGAGTGATCAAAAAGTGAAGTGTCGAGCAAATTGATGCTGGTTTGTGTGTCAGTGCTTTTGTTAAGTAACTTTGCCAAAGCACAGTTGAGCAGGAAATGCTCACATTGTGTTTGCAAAGTCTATCACTGTTAGTTTCTCATTGCATTATTTTGTTCGATCCAATTTTCATTTACCATTACATTCTAAAACAAAAACGGGTAAGAAGGTTTCCACTTTGATTAATTATGTAATATTTTAAAAGGGCACTGGCATCCATAATATTAATGGGATAATTTAATGCAGGTTACTTGATTTGCTGCATTCTGATTGGTCAGGCTAATCTGGAGGAATGTTTTGCAAATCAAAAACCAACAAAGTCCTGCTTATCCCCTAAACTCCTGTTCCTTAATGATGGTTTTAGGTGACATGGGGAAATTGAAGGCAGGCTGGAGAGATGTGAATGTGAATAGTGTAAGCTGTCTTGCATAAGGCTTCGTTTATCAGATAAATAACCACATACAGTATTAAGAAGAACTTAAGCAAGTAATAAATGTTGTTAAATGTCTTCTTAAGTTGTCATGATTATGGAAACAGAGCTACTTAGCTATGTAAGGTTGCCACAGTCTCCTAAGCCAGCACCCGAGATTTTGTATCCTAATACATACACACACAAGTTACCAGTCAACCTGAACTATGTTTCTGTTCTGGACATAAATCTGCCATCCTGAAGCATTACGTTACTGTACTGCCCTTTATGGCTTATATTTATTATATTTTAAATGTGTATGTTATATTTAGACATTATGCAAATAATTAGATGCTTCTTCAAACTAATAGTTTCTTTAAAATGAGACTGTGGACATACAAAGACACATTAGCTACAGAAGAGCGTTAATAGTCTTTGATACATAAAACATGTATGTTAAAGGATGAAAATGGGATTTCAGCTTGCTGGCATTCATAACCCTGTAATGTCCTGTTAGCCCTTTAATGTATATGTCCTCATTAACATTTACATGAATTTTATTTAGCAAACACTTTCGTCCAAAGCAATGTACACAAGAGGCATATAGCATATTGCAAACATACCTGCCGTCGAGAAGTTGATTAGGCATAAGTGCAGCAAGGGTGAGCTTCCAATGAATGTCTGTGTACAGTTGTAAGCAGTACTGCAGCAAACTTAACACAATACCTTCTAAAACCTTGAACAAAATAAGGCACGAAAAACATTCATGGAACATGGAGTGCAGATAGGCTAGTAGGGGCACCCAGAGAGTCTTGAGGCTCTCAAGTGAAGGGTGGGGGATGTGTTTCGGTAAGTCATTTCACCATTGGGGAACCACACATGAGAAAAGACTTTTCACATAGGGGTGGGATTAATAAACAGGCTGATATTTTGAAAATTGGGATTTGATCCAATGAGTAAGCTCGTTACCACAGGGGAACTGATGTATTGCATTCCTTGTAAAAAATACTAGAACTACTCAGTTATGGAATTGCAGAGGGTTTGCTGTGTGCTGCCAGCTATGAATACTTAGGGGACAAGTTCAGTTTGTAGAACTGTGAATATATACTATTTTGGTTTAGTCCATATGTATAATCTTAATTCAATTTTTAAATGGATTCATTAATGGTCTTTGACCTTTTAATATAAACAAAACACATTTTTTTCTGTTGGCTAAAGGTGCTTCAGTTACTTGACAGTAAGTCTACTGTGAAACGACACTTGGTGGACATTAGCAAATGCCTGTTGAGATACTGACGGATACAATTTCTTCTGACGCTGTATGGTGCATTGTTGTTTGCCTCTAATCAAAGCTGTTCATTCCCTGATAGTGTGTTAATTTGAATATAATAACTATTATTTCTATTAAAGCAATGAGCCCTGGAACCAAATCATGTAATGCACTATTCAGATTAATCATTACTGACAAGTGCTCACCCCCCAA